TGTGCGCCCGCGTGTGCCGGGCGCAGGAGCGAGCGGGACACGGGCAGCTGGCGCAACTGAGCAGCGTGGTCGTGCTGGCGGGGGACAACCGCTCCGGGGCCGCCTCCGGAGAGGCCGGTGAGGGCGCCGGGGTCTCGGACGCGCCCCCGACCCGGGCGCCCACGCCGGACTTCTGCCGGGGCTACTTCGATGTTATGGGCCAGTGGGACCCGCCGTTCAACTGCAGCTCGGGCGACTTCATCTTCTGCTGCGGGACTTGTGGCTTCCGGTTCTGCTGCACGTTTAAGAAGCGGCGACTGAACCAGAGCACCTGCACCAACTACGACACGCCGCTCTGGCTCAACACCGGCAAGCCCCCCGCGCGCAAGGACGACCCCCTGCACGACCCTACCAAGGACAAGACCAACCTGATCGTCTACATCATCTGTGGGGTGGTGGCCGTCATGGTGCTGGTGGGCATCTTCACCAAGCTGGGGCTGGAGAAAGCGCACCGGCCCCAAAGAGAGCACATGTCCAGGTGGGCTGCCTCCCCTTTGCCCTTCCCTCCAGGCTTCGCTCTCCCTTTTCTCCCCTCCCCGCCTTCCCCCAGGCGATGGCGCACTCCCCCCCTCCCCTCCCCAAGCCTCTCTGCTGGGGGATGGCTCCCGGGAAGCCAACTTGGGCTTGGAGCGCTGAGAAGGGGCGCTGGGCTGCGCACAGGTGAGGTATGAGCGTGTGTGCCCGTGTGTCGGGGGTCTCTGTCCCCCTCGCCTTCTTTCTGTCCCCTGCCGCCGCCGACTGAATCGGACTTGAGACACACAGCCTGGAAGCCCGTGGCCCTTAAGTCTTGGATTTTGGGGAGGGAGTCCATGGCACCCCACGGATTCCAGACGCTAGCCTCTAGGTAAACAGGAGAGCCCGAAAGGGAAGGGGGGCGTGTGTGAGCCCGCGCGCGCGTGTGTGACGGAGGGAGGGCAGGAGTGAGTGCCGCCTGCAACTCGTACGACTCGCGAAAATGAGGCGAAGGAGGTGGAGAGAGGGGAGGGCGAGAACAAAAGCCTTGCTTGGAGCGGCCGCCTCGCTTTCCCAGAGCTCCGAGGCCCTCGGAATGGAGACCTCAGCTGCTCTCGTCCCTTTGCCCCGCTCGCCCCCTTCTCCCGCCGTCACCTCTCCCTGCCGAGCTGCGCCCCTTGCGCTGGCTGGCGCGGACTCCAGGGCCTCGAGCCCCCTCCCCGCGCGCCTTCACTCTCCGAGCACCCTGATTTGCCAACTTTCCCGTTTGCCTTATTCATTATGCAAGTCCCAGCACGGGCTAGTCGCAGCAGATGGGAGAAGGCATTTGGGGATTAATGGAGCTATTTGCCTTTTGCGTCTTTTTAAGTGTCTAAATGGAATCGCACAACTCAGTAACTTTGGAGGCGGAGGACGCAGCCGCGAGCACGTAGCCCCCGGCCCAGGGAGAGCCCAGGGGTTTGTGTGAGGTCCGGGAGGGCAGGGCCGACGGAGCGGCAAGCAGCAGCCTGCGAAAAGCTGGATGGCCGGGGCGCAAGCTTTAACTGTCCCCTTTCCGAGTCCGGGCAACCAAGTCGCTGTGTTTCCGCTCCCCCCACCCCCATGCCGGGTGTGCGCGTGTGTGTGCACGCGCTCCGTGAGCATGCCTAAAAAATCTGAACAAAGAGACCCACCAAAAATAGGAGAAGGAACATCAACACTTCACTAGTAATTATTTTCTATTTATACGCAGAGTATCCGATGAATTTCTTTCCCAGAGAGGAGAGATTTGGGGGGAAGAGGTGAGAAAGTGCTTCTCGGTTAGGGTCAGCCGGGAGGTGTGGGTGGATGGTGAGGTCTTGAGTAAGCCTCAAGGGGATTCTAGAAACTCTGACCTACTAAAGGAGTAAAGCGCTGGCCCCACGCACCTCCTGCAACCCCAAGGTGTCCTGTCCTCAACCCCATCGGCCGGGTCTTTTCACTTCCCCGCAGTCTTGGCCAGTCCCTGTTGATTCCCGGGGTCTGCGTTAAGAAGGTAGAGTGAGAAATGGATACAAGACTGCGGCAGTCTGTGTCGCTTTGGTAGGGAAAGATTTACCAGAGAAAGGTAGGCTGCCTTGCAGATTCCGGTTAACTACTGCTGAAATCTCCACCGAGCAGTTTTTTCGAAAACCAGCTCTTAAAGGAGGTCTCCTTGGTGGTAGGCGGGGAGGGGGTGGGAAAGAAGGTGGGAAGAGGAGCTGAGCATCTCACGGAGACAGCGATGCTGGATCAAGCCCTCTTTGATCTGGTGCTCTGGTGAGGTGCTCCCCCAAGCACCTAAGGACTCAGCAGGGACCGAACTTTCCGGTCCTGTCCCCTCGCAGCTCTGTTGGGCGAAAAAAGACTCTAGCTATGCTAGTTGTGGTCACATTCTTCTGCAGGTACCAGGAAAGGTCTGCTTGGAGGCAGAATCTAGGGGTACCCAGTCCTAGGGTAGCAGAGCCTCCACACAGGCTCACCCTGAATAAATTTTGGGAATTCCAGAATGGATTGAAAGTGCACACTCCTGAAGAGAGAGAGTTGTGCATTTTTACTGCAGATTCTAAGGCATGACTTTCGACCCTGGCTGCTGTTTAGGCTGTTTAGGATCAACTGGAATGCTTTTTAAAAAGTCCTTTCACCAGAGGCCCCACCCTAGACTATTTAAATCAGAATCTCTAGGGCAGAGCCTGAACATCTGTATGTTTGAAAAGCTCTCCAGGTGATTCTAATGTTTAGCCAATCACTGATAAGGAAAAGGAACTAACACCTGCTGAACAAAGTAGTGGGTGCCAGACGCCTCACCAGGGAGTGTGTGTGCCTGTGTGCATGTGCAGCACACATGTGTGTAAACACTTTCTTATTTAATCCTCACAACTACCCTATGAGATAGGTGCTATTTTAATTCCTATTTGCATATGAGAAAATCATGGCTCAGGTAAGGTGGCTTGCTCAAGGTCACACAGAAAATTGTGCAATCCTCAGTGTCCTGGTTTCAGCTGTGTCGGAGGCAGATGTTTTCAGGTTGAGTGAATGTTTCTGATGTTTCAGATTGATGTTTTCAGGATCTGGGGGAGCTTCCTCAAATGCAGATTCTTGAGTTCCATCCATAGAGATTCTGAATCAGTGGGTTCCAGTGGGCCTCAGAAATCTGCATTTAACAACCCCCCTGAATGGCTCTAAGATAAAATGATCCACTCTTGGGGAGAAACTTCTCTTGGGTTTGGGAATATGTTACAGGGCTGGAAGATGGATGAATTGATCCAAGAGAAAGGAGAGGGGCCAAAGTGACTGTCTTATTTGCATTGTATTGCTTGTTTTTCTCCACGTGTACATTCTTTCTTTGATGTTGGGACTGCTTTAGGTACCCTCCAAATGCATCATGTGCTGCTTATGCAATTAATCATTTGGTGTCCCATCCATGGCAATGGGCTTACTGGCTTTTGCCTGATGGTGCTACCCACCCCAAGCTTGGCATCAGAGAGGCTGCTATAAGGCAAGACAGCTTCCAGATGAAATTAAGCTGCTGGCCACAGCCTCTTAATTTTGATCTGAAGCCGCCAGAGACACTGATATGGGGTTTGTTCTCATCTCACCTGAAAGCACCTTCTCGTCAAAGATATGAGGCATGTTGCTGATCCCTCATTATAAACTTTGCCCCTGGTGACCAGTTAAACTTATGTTTTCCAGCAGAGGCCTCCAAGATGTCAGTTTGCAGTCTCAATGTCCTAGGCATATGGCCTGCTTCATTCTGGGCTGATTAGGACTGAGAAAAGGAGAAAGACAGCAATTCCAGGAAAGGGGGAGGGGAAGGCTTGCATGTGATCTTGTAAGAACTGAACAAATGTCCATTTAGCAGCTGCAACAGCAGCCATAGTCAGCCACTATCCAGTGCAAGAAATGACTGCAAATGTTAGCCAGCTATGGTCACTAAATCACGTGGACATGTTTCGTTTGGTCTGTAAGGTGTTTCTATTTATGTATTTTTATATTAAAGCTTTCTTCAATTTTTTATTGTGAAAAATTTTAACCATGAAAAGAATTTGAAAGAATTATAAAATGAACTCCAGTATGTCTTTCATCTAGATCAGGGTTTCTCAACCTTGGCACTATTAACATTTGGGGTTGGGTAATCCTTTGTTGTGGGGGACTGACCTGTGCGTTGTAGGATGTTTGGCAGCATCTCTGGTCTCTACCCACTAGATGCCAGTAGCACACACCCCACACCCCAGTCGTGACAATAAGAAATTTTTCTAGACATTGTCAAATGTCATCGAGAGGCAAATTGCCCTTAGTCGAGAACCACTAATCTAGATTTTACAATTATTAGTATTTTGTTGTAATTGCTTTATTGGTCTAGTGCTCTTCCTTATTTCCTTCCTTTCTTCCTTCATCCTTCCTTCTCTGCCTCCTTCTCTTCTTTTCTTTTTGGCTGAAACATTTGGACATAAGTTGCATTCATGACACTCAGTCTCTATGTCCTTCAACGTTAATCTCCTAAGAATGAGGATGATCTCCCATACAACACAATTTCATTAAGCATGCCCAAGAAAAAGAAAAAAATTCCATAATATCATCAAATAGTCAATCATATTAAAATTTCCCAGTTGTACCAAAAATGTCTTTTAGAGCTTGGATCAAGTCAGGATCCATTCGAGGCTCGTTGTATCTGGCTGTGAAATATCTTTCATCTCTAGTATGCACAGTGTTTTAAAACCAACTTAGGATCAGTTGCCAACACTGAAAAACCAGGAGATATCATACAGAAACCCAGATTTCTGATTTCTTTTGAGAATTCAATGGGTCGTGTCACATCACACCTGTATTTTCACATGGCGACTATTGGTTGTTGCTGTGTGGTGACTGCCCTCTGTAGGATGCTCTTGGGTTCATCTCAGTTGCCACCCCCACCGAATTCACTCAGTTATGTGACTTGCAGCTCCCGGAGAGTCAGTCTGGCTGGTGTGAACAACACAGGCTTCAGTCAGATGGCCCAACTCAGCCACTTAATAGCTGTGTGACCTTGGGAAGGTTGCTTCGTCAGTTGCCACCCCCACCGAATTCACTCAGTTATGTGACTTGCAGCTCCCGGAGAGTCAGTCAGGCTGGTGTGAACAACACAGGCTTCAGTCAGATGGCCCAACTCAGCCACTTAATAGCTGTGTGACCTTGGGAAGGTTGCTTCATGTCTCTGAGTCTCAGATTCTTGCTGTAGGTTGAAGATTCACTGAGTTTGGGCTTGGAAAGCAGTTAACACAGGACCTAACACATGCTCACTGCTCAGCAACTATTACCCTTTGTCACCCTACTTATTATTGGAATTTTCTATCTCTTCTTGTCTGCTGAAGGGAGTGATGTTGTAGTCTGGATCTCGGTGCCTATCCTTTACTCTTCTGCATTTATTTAGCTGTGTGACACTGGCCAAGTCTCCTAACCTCTCTGGACTTACATTTTCATCCGAGCAGGAGAGGTTAGCAAGTTCAGCAAAGGAGGGAAGGTCCAGGTATGACTGCATTAAATGCATTG